GGGGGGGGGGGGGGAGGGGTTCACAGATGGAAGACAAGTCAACGGCACCATATGCTTTATAAGCAGTGCCGTCTAACCTATCATCGCCATCGAAAGCTTGCAGACAACTCGAAACCAATTCAACGCTATCTTAAAGGGTCAAGTGGAGCGTCTTAAAATGCATGAGCCTGAATGATTGCATTAGACGCATATGTATTATCAGTAGTATGGTCGCCACGGGCACTTACGACTTGACAAATGTAAGGCCAATAACTCGAATTTTCTGAAGCGACACTAACAGACTGGCCAGCTGACTGGCTGGCTGGCTCGTCGGTTGTATGTGAACACGTCATAACACAGCCATGCAGTGTGAGGTGATATCGACATGGGAATATCCCCCTAATGCAAAGCGCAATGAAACTATTCACAGCCTATTGACACAAACACTCCAATTGTCGCCAAACAAATCGCCAGTTGCATTCAAAAGCAGCATTGGAAATGGCGATGCAGGTTAACAGAAAATAATATGTGGTAGAGAGAGAGAGCTCGGTAAGTATGATGACCATCACGCAATCCTTTCCCAAGTTGGGATGAACAATAAAGCCTCTTAAAACTAGTCTAGATAGATGTAAGAATGCGATTTTCTCAGTAGATGAAGCCTTCGAAAGAAGAAATATGCAGCAAATTACGAGGTATAGTTAAAATTACTTAACTAACATTCCGAGAAATTTTTATCTATTGCATATATACTTCGACTGCCGTTCTATGCCAATTAAGAACGAGTGTATAACTACTTCGACTTGATCCGCATCGATACACATCCAATTGATCCGGCCAAGAGGGATAACACAGAAAACGAATTTCTCTTCAAGAAGACTTCAGGGCGTTGTTCATTCTTTCAAATTTTGAATGTGGATATAATAATAATAACAACAAAGACTTGCTACAATCTGCATACTGGTCATGAGACGTGTTAATACTAATGCAGTACTATTCACGAATAAAGCTCCCACTTTCAACAAACCCACACGTATGAACAGAATTGAAGAGGTACATATGGATCATTCCGTAAATTTATTTGAGTGTAGCAACATTTTATGTGGGACCAGGCACAAAGTAGTCCGTTCTGACGTGAACACAGCACCAAATATATAAATGCATAGTATAACTTAATTAAAAACTTAAAAGTATCTCTTATAAACAATAGATGCCTATATCGAACACTTTAAGCATTCTGGTGGCGTGAAATGATGTATCTGCAACCACATTTTAGATTGACTAGAATGTGCAATTTAAACAATTTAGAATTAAAGCCGCTTCGGAAATTCATCGATCCATCAAAGAGAAAAGCGGCGGATCGCCTGCCAACTCTATGCCAAAAGCACCAAGATTGATCTAATCTGCTTGGCAGTTCACAAGAAAACCAATATACACCACTGTACAACCCATTACTTAACGCCATCAAAAGGACAACAAACTTTTGTGGACAGGTGATTTCTTTGTAGAATCGTCGTGTTGGTCACCATGCACGAGACAGCCTTTGGCGAGAACTAGATAATTACCAACTTAACAAAGCAATCACCATAATAATTAAACCTTAAAAAATGCTAATTTAATAAGTATAAAAACGCTTTTCTTCCCCGCCCAAGTCACACTCTAAAAACGAATTTTTAACTATTTCATATTTAATGACAATTTCCCATAGCTTAACGCAGCCAAGTAACGAAAACAAAACAATGAGAGATAGGAACCAACAAATAGAGATAAACAGGGAATGAATCGATTGCGAATTAAATTTAAGTTGGAAACCTCAAAATCACCAGATTGGATTAAAAAAAAGGGTTAAAGTCAACTCACCTGCTGACCACTGCCGGTGGATATGTAGACGGTTGAAGTCGTTGGAGTTACGTAACCTCCGTCACTAAGGCCCTCGGTCGACTGCGTATCAAGGGGGACAAGACCGTCAGGGCTATTGATAACAGCTGGTGAAGGAGCCCCTGTAGGACCGGTAGGCTGAGCTGTGGCCGCTAAGATGCTTCCAATCTAAAGAAGTGAGGAAGCATAATCAAAAAAGCCAGATCTCCGAGGAGCAAAGCTTTCACAAATCACAAAAATCTCTGTTTACCGATTGAGTTTCGCTAGTAATGGGGAGAGAGCCTTCCTGACTGAGAGCAGCTGCTCGGCGATAGGTCATGATCTCACGATCCAACATACGTTTCGCTTTGGACCACTTGGATTTACACTTGGCGATTATCTCGAAGTTGCTGCAAACGTCGGCTAAAATGAATTAGCATTTCAATTAGCACTTTCTCAAAACTCAATAGTTATTTCACTGGAATTTATACATTTTCCAATCCAACTACTAAATGACAGTTTTTACAAATAGTCCACGCTAAAAGGGTCTGATATAATCAGAACTCGTAAATTTTAACTGCTGATTTAAAATAGTCATGACCAATTCGTGAGACTTCAAAGGATGAAGAATTTCTGATGGCAAAAAGCGCATAGATGCATTAAAATGCAGTAAGAAAGGTATCTAATGAGTGATCACAAATTACGCACCTCTGCCAGCTTACTACACTAAGAACGTAAGCTGTCGAATATCAAGTAAAATCACAGTTACTTCTCAACCATTAGGACAAACACTGATTAAAGAACATCCACCAATAAGCACTGAGCAACTTGAACAAGCGCTTACTACAACCTAGGAGGGGGGGGGGGGNGGGGGGAGGGAGGGAGGGAAGGGGGAACGAATAATGATATGTAAATTTTGGAGCGCGAAAAGTAATTTAGCAAATATCATACAACAGGAATCCCAAAAATATTAATTTAATGAGATTCCCTGTTACCTTGTAGCTGCGCTCAGAATCCGTTTTGATCCACACAATTCATCACACCACTGGAGTACGCTATTTGATGTCGGTTGCTTCAATAATTAAAGGCTACAATTTACGTATTCGTGATGGCACTAGTATATTCAGCATATACTTCATGAATAAGTTGTGCAAAGATTTCCTTTTGAGGGAAGAAAAGGAAACTTAGTGTGTGTGGAAAATCCGTGGATTTAAAACACACACGAACACCGTTAGAATCGACGGGTTTCATTTTTAAGGACACGGAATACAATAGCCAAGACAAAGGAATTAGAACTCAAAGAATGATTTAAGTTGAATGAACTTCAATCAAAGCTTCCCAAGTCACAAATTCCAGACTCCGAGAGAGACTTGTGTGCATGAAAAGTACAAACGTAGATATTCACACGACCATTTTTCCAAAGCACAACGAAAATCTGCCGATTAGAAATAACATGACCACTATACAATGATTGAGGCATATATATATATATATATATATATATATATATATATATATATATATATATATATATATAAAAAAAAACAC